TTTGGCAGGGGAGGGGGTACAAACCTGCTCCTATGGCTGATGAACCTGATTTAAGCGTACGCAAAACATTTCCAGTATTACAGCAGTAACTGTTTTGTTTTAGCACAAACATTAATTGTGATCAAGCATTGCATAATTGTAAGGTTGGTTAAAAAGTGACACTTGGAATGTGCAAGGTACGCCAAGAACTATATTGCCCCGATTTTTAGTAAATTTTTACTTTGTACATAGAACTTCATTTGGTGAATATTTATTACCTCAAGAAGGTCCCGCATACCTGATGTACTCACCTTCTTTTATTTATGTTTTGTGTCTGTAGAATGGAGGATTGGGACACATGAATATTCCGGTTCTATCAGATTTAACTAAGCAGATATCCCGCGATTATGGCATTTTGCTTGAGGTTCCAGGCATTGCTCTGAGGTAGGTCCCACTTTTATTGAAAGCTAAGTGGTTTTCAAAAAATAAATAAAAAATTAAGTGATTTATTGCTAATTCACAGTTTGACGTTTTCCCAGCTATTCTTTTTTTTTTTTTTTTTTTTAACTAGAACACTCAGAAAATGGGACCTGACAGACTGTCTGTTCTAGTACGCTCTCTCCAACACCTCGTGCTAGGACTAGTCTGGCTGAGAGTAGTGGAAGCTACATACTGGCTGCTTCTATCTCTGTGACCTGGGTTGAGAGAGTCTTCCCACAGACGATCTATGTTTATGGAAAACCTAGATTTCTCTCCCCCACCCCCTTACTATTTAGTGATCTTCAAATGTGATCTTGGGATTATATGTCTTTGAGTTCATAGCTAAATAGCTCTTCATTCACCTTCTCACAAGCTTATAAATTCACTTCCACAACTCTTGTTGGTTGAGAATTTGTTTGGGGTAGAATGTGCAATTTTTTTAAAGGTTCTTTTATGAAAACAGGGACCGTGGCTTCATCTGTAGTAGTTTGTGTTCCATAACTTGGCATATCCTTATTTTAGTGAACTATTGACTTAATGCTAATTTCTGCCTTTTTCCCTTATTCAGGGGGCTTTTTATTATTGATCCTAATGGAATAGTGAAACATTTAAGTATTAATGATCTCCCTGTTGGCCGAAGTGTGGAGGAGACACTGCGCCTCGTTAAGGCCTTCCAGTACGTCGAAACACATGGGGAAGTCTGCCCAGCCAACTGGACTCCCCACTCTCCCACGGTAATTCCAACTGCTGACTAATGGCACAATATAGCCTTTTCATTTTGCAATCCTACTATAATTAAACCAAAGAATGCAGCTTTTACTACAATCACTGCATTTATTTCTTAAGAAGGAAAATGAGTCTATCTGGTCTGATCGCATGTGAAAAGAAATAGGTCCATGGAGAGTGGAGCATATTTTGTTAAATTACTTTAAGGGGAAATGCTTTGAGGCTGGTGACCACTTTATTTTTCTTCACCTGAGTAAGTACTGTTGAAGTGTTTACTAGAGTGTGGAGTGCAGCATGGTGAGTAAAGTAAAACATATATGTGGTTATCATAGTCTAGTGAGTGCAATGCATTCCAAGATAAATTACAAAGGATGCTTGGCACAATATACACATGTAACCCCCACCCCAGTATTCTAGAATTTACATTCTGACGAGTCTACAAGTGCAACTAACTTCATTTTTTAAATTCTCAGTTAATTAAAATAATTCCTCTGTCTAGCAAATATTGACTTAGAAAGTGTTTTGCCAAGATAAATGCATTAAGATTATTTTTATTATCACGAGATAAACAAATACACAACTATTAGAAGATTGCACACAAAACCAATATAGAATAATTACTAGACATTCGCAGCTATTCCAGGTATGGTTTCTTTGTACATAAAGCGGCAAACATTGCAGCATGGAGGACGATTTGATGTATTTAGGCATATTATTTCACAATTGCAGGTCTCTGTATGAGAAAACTACACACCCACTGCCATGTAACAGACAGATACAGAAATCAAATCTACCAATACAGGGAGTGCAGAATTATTAGGCAAATTAGTATTTTGACCACATCATCCTCTTTATGCATGTTGTCTTACTCCAAGCTATATAGGCTCGAAAGCCTACTACCAATTAAGCATATTAGGTGATGTGCATCTCTGTAATGAGAAGGGGTGTAGTCTAATGACATCAACGCCCTATATCAGGTGTGCATAATTATTAGGCAACTTCCTTTCCTTTGGCAAAATGGGTCAAAAGAAGGACTTGACAGGCTCAGAAAAGTCAAAAATAGTGAGATATCATGCAGAGGGATGCAGCACTCTTAAAATTGCAAAGCTTCTGAAGCGTGATCATCGAACAATCGAGCGTTTCATTCAAAATAGTCAACAGGGTCGCAAGAAGCGTGTGGAAAAACCAAGGCGCAAAATAACTGCCCATGAACTGAGAAAAGTCAAGCGTGCAGCTGCCACGATGCCACTTGCCACCAGTTTGGCCATATTTCAGAGCTGCAACATCACTGAGTGCCCAAAGCACAAGGTGTGCAATACTCAGAGACATGGCCAAGGTAAGAAAGGCTGAAAGACGACCACCACTGAACAAGACACACAAGCTGAAACGTCAAGACTGGGCCAAGAAATATCTCAAGACTGATTTTCTAAGGTTTTATGGACTGATGAAATGAGAGTGAGTCTTGATGGCCAGATGGATGGGCCCGTGGCTGGATTGGTAAAGGGCAGAGAGCTCCAGTCCGACTCAGACGCCAGCAAGGTGGAGGTGGAGTACTGGTTTGGGCTGGTATCATCAAAGATGAGCTTGTGGGGCCTTTTCGGGTTGAGGATGGAGTCAAGCTCAACTCCCAGTCCTACTGCCAGTTCCTGAAGACACCTTCTTCAAGCAGTGGTACAGGAAGAAGTCTGCATCCTTCAAGAAAAACATGATTTTCATGCAGGACAATGCTCCATCACACACGTCCAAGTACCTCACAGCGTGGCTGGCAAGAAAGGGTATAAAAGAAGAAAATCTAATGACATGGCCTCCTTGTTCACCTGATCTGAACCCCATTGAGAACCTGTGGTCCATCATCAAATGTGAGATTTACAAGGAGGAAAACAGTACACCTCTCTGAACAGTGTCTGGGAGGCTGTGGTTGCTGCTGCACGCAATGTTGATGGTGAACAGATCAAAACACTGACAGAATCCATGGATGGCAGGCTTTTGAGTGTCCTTGCAAAGAAAGGTGGCTATATTGGTCACTGATTTGTTTTTGGTTTGTTCTTGAATGTCAGAAATGTATATTTGTGAATGTTGAGATGTTATATTGGTTTCACTGGTAATAATAAATAATTGAAATGGGTATATATTTGTTTTTTGTTAAGTTGCCTAATAATTATGCACAGTAATAGTCACCTGCACACACAGATATCCCCCTAACATAGCTATAACTAAAAACAAACTATAAACTACTTCCAAAAATATTCATCTTTGATATTAATGAGTTTTTGGGGTTCATTGAGAACATGGTTGTTGTTCAATAATAAAATTAATCCTCAAAAATACAACTTGCCTAATAATTCTGCACTCCCTGTAGATAGTCCGATATGGAGTCCACATGTACCAGCTGTATTATAAGTACCAGAGATGTTCTGCATCTGCTGAAACGTAAACCGCTCATGCAGCTACATGGCACTTTAAATGTTAATAAATGTACAGCACTTGTAGCTCCAGTTTTATACTTTACATTAGAGGTCTTTGCCTCTTCCTGTCTTTAAGGGCAGAGGTTTCCTAAATTCTGTATAATTGGCAGTGAAATTGACTCTAGAAAGTGTCCAGTCTTTTCATGTGAATAAATTAGTAGTTATTCAATCTGAAATGGGCTCAGATACGCTACATTGCTTGTTTTAATGGCCATGACTTTTATTGCAGATTAAACCCAATCCGGAGGGCTCGAAGGAATACTTTGAGAAAGTAAACTAACCGATGCGCTGTGTGATCATATCCAGAATAATGAAGGGCACTTAATTTACAATGAACTGTTCGAGTGTGCGTGCATTCCGTCACAATACCAACTGTGTGATGCATCTCGAGCTACAGATTTGTTACTTTAGGCAACAATTATATATAGAGTGACCAACCATGATGAATAAAGACTGTAACATATTTAAACTGTGTACAGACTATTTATTGTGTCTGTCTATGAAGGCTAGTTTAAAGTGAGTGTCTAAAAACAACCCTTATGCATTTGGCTCTTTTAGCATTTTAGCTTTTTGCCTAAATATCTATCTGTATTGTCCCCCACTGCAGGGATAGTTAGACGGGCAATGTGACGTTGGTTATGTCCAACCTGTTTCTTCTACTCCTAACCTGCTCAGTTGTTCATTTCACCCAGAAGCACAGCAAAAGCTTCTGTGAGTTGCAGTTTAGCGAACAGCTTTGATAAGTAGAAAGCTGCAATAAGTGAACTAAAACTGCCAGAATCCCTGTTTGAAGAAACTTAAATGATGAGCACATCCCTCTGACTGGCTGATTACTTCCTGGTCTCATGACTTGGAATGCAAATACAGCAACTAAAACCTCTTTAACTTTTATTATGGATTTTTTTTTTCTACATTCAAGCCATAAGTGCTCAATTAGTGTAGAATTTTATAAAGCGACTACAATCCCTGCACTTTACATAACGGCTTTGAAAGATTTTACTGTTAAAATTGACACAATTTAAAGGATATTATAACAAATATATAAATGTTATATTTCCCGTGGCTCTGAAGGGGGAGGAACGGGTTAATCCCTTACCTTTTTTCCAGCGCCGGGCTCCCTCGGCGCTGGGACTCAACTCCCTCTTCTTCCGTCATCGGCTGAATGCCAATTTTCAGTGAGAAGACGCCAGCGTCCATAGGAAAGCATTCTCTAATTCTGGTTGTGTTTCCGGGGACACACATTAATTCCAGTTGTGTTTCCGAGGGGACACATTAATTCCAGTTGTGTTTCCGAGGGGACACATTAATTCCGGTTGTGTTTCCGGGGGGGGACACATTAATTCCGATTTTGTTTCCGGGGGGACACATTAATTCCGGTTTTGTTTCCGGGGGGACACATTAATTCCGGTTGTGTTTCCGGGGGGACACATTAATTCCGGTTGTGTTTCCGGGGGGAAACAGTAATTCCAGTTGTGTTTCCGAGGGGACACATTAATTCCAGTTGTGTTTCCGAGGGGACACATTAATTCCGGTTGTGTTTCCGGGGGGGGACACATTAATTCCGATTTTGTTTCCGGGGGGACACATTAATTCCGGTTTTGTTTCCGGGGGGACACATTAATTCCGGTTGTGTTTCCGGGGGGACACATTAATTCCGGTTGTGTTTCCGGGGG